TACTGGGGATATGCCTGCAACCAAGGTGCATGCCCTTGACCAGAATTGAACCTGGATCCCTTCAGTCCCCAAGCCTACGCTCTATCCATTGAGCCAAACCGGTTTCGGCAAGTGTTCTCTTCTTATATTAGCAAGCTGTTAATTCAAGTTACAAGTCAGTTCTGGGAGTTAGAATAAATGGATTTAAAGTAATAAGAATGGTTTAGCTCTGTTTGTATACTCATGTATGTATGTTTTTATACATATATGTGCATATGTACTCTCACTGTTAGGCAGACTTTCTTATAATATAGTGTTTTCTTAGTTGATTTATATAACTAAATGGTTATACAGAGGGATATAATTAAATATCCCTCTGTATATTTCTTTCTTCAAGTATCATTTTGTTATAAGCAATCTCATTTATTTGAGAACCAATATCTTAGTTTCCATATTCAGTCTTTTCAAAACAAATACAGTGAAATTGGTAGTTCTCTTTGTAAGTATTAGAAAAATGTTACTAATTTTGAATTAAAAATAATTTTACATTTTGAAAGTTTGATAGAATTAAGAGAAATTATTTTTAAGTATAAAATTTTAGATTTAACATGTTTAAAATTTGTGTGTTAACTAGTTTTCGTCCTTTTGTTTACCAGAAAAGCCCTGTTAAATGTAGTTATTAAAAAGCGAGGAAACCAATGAAGGAGGTTCTAGGTTCCAAAGCAAAAGAAAAATAGCTGTTTTTATTACAAAATGTTTATATCTCTAGCATTTTGAGAATCTTGGAAATTAATTATGTGAAAAAATATATACATAAAAAATATATACAAAAAAGTGGATCTTCCAAATGTTGTATTTGAGGGAGCAAGGTAACTGGTTATAAGATACAGATTCTGAAAGTCATAATATTATTAGCTACATGGTTTTTTGGTAATTAGTACTTTGTAATTTCAAGAATTACAGTGACCAAAGCAGAACATGTTTTAAGACACTGATTTTTTTTTTTTGAGATTTTTATTTTTTTTTATTTTTATTTTTCATATTTTATTGATTTTTTTTTACATATCTTATTGATTTTTTTTTTACCCCCCTCCCTCCCTCCCACCCATCCCCTCCCTCCCCAGAGTTTTATGACCATTGGTTGTACTTATATGCATGTATACAAGTCCTTCGTTTGATCTATTATCTCCCCCAAATCTAAGACACTGATTTTTGTTAACTTCTTAGATCACACACCTGAAACATTAGCCATACTTAATACATACTTTACATGATTATTTTTTTCTGTATCACTTTTGATGTAGACCAATGTTTCAATATGGACATTGGCAAATTACTTATGATTTGGCAGTGAGAATCCGAAAATGCCATTGTAGTCATTCTTACAACTCCTTCCACATTTATTAGTAATCACTTCATTTTCTTTTAACTTCAGCTACTTTTCTTCCTTTCCTCTTACTCTTTTGAAAGTGAAATTATTCATATTTGTGTACTCATACCTTTTTCTTGACTTAGACCGATAGTTTCTTTAGTAGTCTTTAGCATTTGTAAAACATCATTTTTAAGATAGCTGGCTATTTAAGATAATGATTTAAGATAACTATATATCATCTTTAAGGTAGTACATTGCTTCTTAACACAACGATCTTTAGGGTGATGTTTTTCCCCATAAATTTTTTTTCACTGTACAGTTTTATCTTGATGCCTCTTACAGAAAACAGAATATTTTCTGTTCTCATCTTACCTTCCTAAATCTATACTCATCTTTCCAACATAAATGTATAATGTCACTTCAAAAGAGTCCAAATGATTTGATATGATTAATTATGTGTTCATAATTAGAAGACATGATTCTAGTATTAATTTCTTTAAGACCTAAAAAGTTTAGCTACTCTTTTTTGTGTTCATTATTTTAGAGGGAGATTACTTCTGGGAGATAATAATTAAATAAAATTTAAGTATTATATATAGTAAACTTTTTTAAAAGGGGAGTTTTTGTTATTTCACCAGAGTCCTGAATCTGCAGTTCTGTCAGTTAAAACTGCCTATAATATTTAGTTTAGGACTGCCATTGGGATTGGATTGCAAGCTTTCATCCTTTACTGGGAGGGTGAGGCCAATGATGGATGCTCTTTGCTCTTCTCTCCCTCACAGTAGAGAGTTGGCTTTCAATCTGAGGATTTCTTGCTGAAGCTACTAAATTCCTCAGAAATCCAGTCTTCGTACATAGACTTTTGATGTTTATAATATCTTATTTGTATCTTAGAGCTGAATGGGTAGTGACTCTGCTCCATATTAGATTCAATTCATGTGAACAAATACTCAGTATCGGCAAACTTTCCATCACCTGGACCTTAATTTCACTAATCATATCTTCAAGGATTTTAAGAAATGATAAAGTTAATTAGGCATATTTGAGAAGCATTTTATTTTTCATCGTCTGGAATTTTGGAAATAGTAATTTCAAAATTGTTAGCATCAAAACAACATATACAAAAGCATGTTTGCCAGTGTTCTGTATTAGTTAATGGATATCCCATTTTGCAATTTTATCATTTTGCTGTTGTTTGTATACTTCATGAATTTTTCTACTGTAAAGTCTTAACTTTTCTCTCTGTTTCTCTTTTATTAAAAAACATACATTTTAACTATTAGATTCATCAGAGAATTGAGTGTAATGAAATTGATTCTTGCCCTACTATATACATAACACATTTTGGGGAATTAAAATTTTAAATTTAATCCCTTATATTCCATCATCACAGTCTTTTATTATTGTAATTTAACCAGTATCTTCATTTTGAACATTTTATTCAGTAGCATCTTCTACATTTATAATTTTATATCTTTCTATATGAAATTTCTTGGTCAGTTTCACTGAATTCTTCTAAAGTGGGGTCATTATTTTCCTTCTCTTTGAATTCCTCATGTCAGTATATACATTTCATACATTTGTTCAAAAATGTGTTTTGAGATTTTAATATTAAAACATACATTGGAACCTCAGTAGCATGTAATTTATTAATGATTGGAATTCTGTTTAAGGTAAGCTGCCCTAGACTTCATCCAAGAGCATTAAAATTCTCATGCAACATGTATACCATATTATTTAAAGATATTATTTGAAGAATTGTTGGTATGTCTTTTATATGAGGTAAGGCAGAGTAGTCAGTAAGAAAAAGCTTAGGATTAGAAAGTTAGAGGCAAGCTTTTAACCTTGTTCATGTTTGTTACGTCATCTTTAGGGAGTTATATCGTGATTATTTGTATTTTTGGAAAAGATTTGTTATTTCATCTCTTTCTGGTTTAGAAATATATTGTGTGCTTTTTTTTTTTTGCACCAGAATTATAATACTAATTGTTTATCTTAACTTCTAAGGTAGTTCATCTGTCTCTGAGCTTGCACCAAAGTCAGTGGAGGGAGACTGTTGATGTGGAAGCCTTGTAGTTGGCAGGGGAAAACCAGCTTAGCATTAAGCACTGGTTGTGGATAAGTCTGAGAATGGCTAATTGATATGCAAGCAATTGAAAGTTGATTATACATGCATGTTCCTGTCTTTTAGCTATAGTTGCAGCAGAATGTAATAATGCTTGTGAAGGACTTAAATATTATGTAAAAAGACTCTTCATTAATTAAATTTTGGTGCTGCCACTGCAATATTTGTATATCATCTATGATTACTATCATTTTTCAGATGACTATTCATCTGATTATTCCAGCTGCTTTTTACACATTACTTGTTTTGTTGAAACATGTTGAAATATAATTTTAAAACCACACAAAATATATTAGTTAATTCCCTAGTTAAACTACCATTTACATTTCTCTTGGAGGATATTAATCCAGTTTATTGAACTCAAATGTGTTTTACCAGAATAAGAAAACAAGGTAAGGTAATTGCTGAATGAATGAGTTAGAATCATTAATTTTTTTAATATATTTTTTAATTGATTTTTTACAGAGAGGAAGAGAGAAGGATAAAGAGTTAGAAACATCAATGAGAGAGAATCATTGATCAGCTGCCTCTTGCACCCTCCCCTCCCCCACTGGGGATGTGCCTGCAACCAGGGGACTGGAATCGAACCTGGGACCCTTCAGTCCGCAGGCTGACGCTCTATCCACTGAGCCAAACCAGCTTCGGCTAGAATCATTAATTTATTTGCCCAACTCAGATGAGTTAAAGTTGCCCTTATGTATTAATGTATTATGAACACATTATTTGAATGCATTTGCAGAATATGGGATTTAGTGTAAGCAAGCATCTGAGTTATAGTGATTGTTCTAATAGTAGTGTAAACACTGATTCTGAACAAAAATCTTGAAAATAAAGCATCCTAGTTTAAAGTATTAAAGAAATAAAAAGCTTTTCTTTTTAAAAATTTGTTCATAAATTACCTATTTTGTTAACTTTTTATTAATCTTTTATGCATTTTAAATTAAAAATATGCAAACTATATATATATATATATTTTTTTTTTTTTAGTTTCTAGTATCTTCTTTATCACATACCCAGAATATTGATGACTTAAAATGTCTTTAAGTTATGAAATAGTTAAATTACAATCAATTCTTGATTATGCCAATGGTAGGAGAAATATAGCAGATATTGAGAAAAACAGGTATATATCAAATTTAATGTTATGAAAATTTTCACAATAGACTTACTTTAAAACTATATAAAGATATAAAATTACTTGACGATTATTGGCTAAATAGCATCTGGTGAAGGTGGTGTAAAAACAAAAGAGGAGACCAGAGAAAACTAAATGGGGGTTAAAAGTTTTCTATTAATAAAGTGTATGTATTATTGAGAGTTTACTATGAGATTAGCTTTAAACAAATGAGTTTGGTATTTTACAAGGTATATTTAATGTATTCTATTTACTTCTTAGTTAAAAAATTACAGTGTTTAGCTCTAAGTAACAGTTTTTAAATGTAACTAGAAAATAATAGTGTCATTTTTTCCTTTTTCTTTCATTTTCTTTTTCTCTTCTCTCCCCCCACCCTCACTTATTTTTAGGGTATGAATATTATAGAACAATTAGACCCTGTATCTTTTAGTAATTACTTGAAGAAATACCATAATACTATATGTGGAAGACATCCCATCGGAGTGTTATTAAATGTGAGTATCCTTAAGAAGCCTTGATTTTTAATATTTGATCCTGTGATGTTTTAAAATATCTTAAATTTTTAAGGTAACTTATTAGCATTGGTTTTAGGTACATACAGTCAATTTTCTTTTAGTACATTTAAGATAATTTGGATTTCCATTGTTTTAGTTAACTGAATAAAGTTATATGTCACTGGAAAATAGGCTGATACTTACTTTTAAATGCAGAAAGTTATTTAGAATACAGACCATTTCCTCTAGGTTCTCAGCCAATTCTAGTATGCTTTTTATAAATATAAACCAAAGTAACCTTTTAAGAAATGTTCTTATTGATTTCTTGGCTTTATTTAGTGTCCTAGACTCTATAAAAATAAATAGAAGATTTTGTTCTTGAACTTTAGAAATGTGTAAGTTAATAAAGCAAGACAGATGACATGTGTATATTTTTCCCTTTACAAGAATTACTACAAATATAATTCATTTAATAAATGAAGGTAATAGGCAGAAGTCTTTAAAAAAAAAAAAGGAATGTTTCATGAATTTGTGTATCATCCTTGCTAAGGGACCATGCTAATCTGCTCTGTATTGTTCCAATTTTAGTATATGGGCTGTTGAAGTGAGCACCAGAAGTCTTGGTTAGCTGGAATTTTGAAAGTATAACATTAATATTTTCCCTAACTAGATAAACCAATATGGATTTTCTGAAAGAAAATGCAAGACTTTTTAAGAAAGAAGGGAGTGTATACACAGGAACAGGAGGAGGAAGAAATAATAATAGGCTCGATTAAAAATCCTGGTATACCTCTTGAAAATTTATATACATTTTAACCTTAATTTATATACATTTTAACGTCAGACAAAGAAAAGACTGCAACAATTCAATATAGTAGAAGTAGCTAAGATTTGATTTAGAGAAAAGAGAGAAAGATGCTATGAATTAATTTGTTTTTGTTTTTAAGTGGTGTTATTAAATACAAGGAGAGGTAGGGGTGAAAGATGACTGATATTTACCTAGAAGATATTTACCTAGGAGAAGTACTTTGATAGAATTACATGAGGAATTAGATTTATTCCTATTTAACATGAGGTGAAGAGAAATTCAAGAAACAAGTGACGACTAAAAGAGATCTAGGTTCCAGCTGTGAAGTGGGCAAAGTTAAGCCACCAATGCATTCAAAGAGTGCTAATCACATCTTTCTTTTTTCAGGCTATCACAGAGCTCCAGAAGAATGGAATGAATATGAGCTTTTCCTTTTTGAATTATGCTCAGTCAAGCCAGTGCAGAAACTGGCAAGACAGTTCAGTGAGTTACGCTGCTGGAGCACTCACGGTCCACTGACGCTCTGACTCCTCAGGGATGCTACCTGCACATACTCATACTCTGTTCGGGGTCCCAGCCTAGCCCTTACCAAGATCCAGATCCTGGTTTCGGGGGACTCTGAAACCTCAAACTAATAGAACTTTCTTCTCTTCTTTTCTAGTAGGTGTAGTCCTTCCTTAATTTCAACTCATTAAAAAAATGCTTTATAGTTTAGGGCAGTGGAAGGAAGGCTGGCATCAAATATTTGGATCAAAGAAGATGGCAATATAATGGGCCAGTTGTGGCAGTGTTTTGAAAGTAATGTGTAAAGCATTTACCATATCCTAAATTTGCACTCTTTGCAGACTTGTGCACATATATTCCGCTTTCAGAATAGTTTTGCAAATTGTACACAGACAAAAAAAGGTGGAAGCTTTTTAATAAAGAAATTGCATTTATAAATGATCTGTATTAGAATATAATAATTCTCCAGTTATAGTCAATTACTACCCGTGTTGTACAACAGATACCTTCTATTTTAGTTGCTAATAAAGGGCTACACAACTCAAAATAGTCTGATTTAAACTTATTGCTCTGTGGTATATATGAAAATTGTTTTTATATTAATTCATCTCAGTTTTTATGTTAAAAGTGGTAAACTTCAGTTCTTATATAAAAATATGTTAGGATGTATTTTATATTTTGCATATATATGTGATTTTTTATCACAGATATTAGAATCATATTTTAAAGTTAGCTTTTTAAATTACAGTTTCTTTTTGTGTGTGTGACATCACTTTATGTCATTACTATATTGTATAGTCAAGATTGATAAAAGAACAGATGTAGTCCTTTCCTCCAAAGATAGTGTTTGATAGGCAGTAGTCTGCAAATGAGGAAACATTGAAGAGTGTTCTTAGAGTTTTTCAAATCATTGCAGACCAGAGACTGCTACATGCTTTAAGCACTTTGACTTAAATTTTTAGCAGGACATCATTAATAATAACAACAAAAAGCCACTGGATTTTTTTATAGTTCTAAAATATTTTTTCATGACTTTTGGTGCGGCTCTTCCAACTAAAATAATGGTATGGTGTTGTATTTCTTTCTTTAGCATAGACCAATTCTAGTCACATTGGGAAAAATGTAATTCAGTTAGTTAATTATTGGTCACCATGCATGTACTAGATTATACCTATTTTAGTCTTAACAGTGGGTATCTTCATTACATTGGAGAACATTTATATCTTCAATGTTAACCAGAATAGCACAATTTTTAGATGCCTTGCACCAATTTTATTTAAAAATTGCATTTCTTATTTACTAAATATCAACTTTCTATACACAAAAAAATTGAGATAAAATAATGCTGCTTTTGGATTCAAATTTACCCACCTAAACATGTGTGGAAATTATACTCTAACATATTACTGATTTATTTTCCATCATTTAGATACACTTTAAATATTTATTCCTTATTTACTATATAGAATGTAAAATTTTAAAATTGACTATGGAATGAATTTTTAATATTTTCTGAGTATAAAACTAATACATGACTATTATGGAAAATTTAGAAAATACTGAACAGTATAAAGAAGAGAAAAAATTGTCTGCAGTTCCACTATCCAGAGATAATACTGTTAAAATTTTTTTGTATTTTCTTTCAGTCTTTGTCTATGCTATTTATATGTATGAGTGTGTACATGTGATTGTGTGTGCGCATAATAACAATATTGAGATTATACTGACCATATAGTTGTATCCTACTTTTATAACTTAAGATCATAAGTCCTTCCCCATATCTTTGAAAATGTAATTTTTAAAAATGACTGCTTAATATTGTTTCTAATATTTCAAAATTATAAATAATAACAGATGGACATCTTTGTATGTGAAATTTGAACTCTATTAGACTAGTTCTTTAGGGTATATTCATGGAAATGGGATAATTGGTTTAGATGCTGAGAACTTTTTAGGCTCTTTAAAATATGATCAAATTAGCCTTCAGAAAATTTGTGCCAAATTAGCAATATAGGAGTACTTAATACTGCAACTATTGGTTTTTATTTTTTAAATCTTTGACAGTTTGTTAAGCAAATATTTGTTCTTTTGATCATTCTAACTAATGAATGGCTTTACAATGAATCAGTTTTTTCCTTCTGTAATGTTATAGTTGATTGTTTAATAAAAAACACTAGAGGGTTGCTAGGTTGAGTGGGTAGTAGCCTTATTAGTATGTTTACTGTACATTTAAAACTCGAGAATATTTTAACATCATCCCTTTCCTAGATATGAGCATGTCTTTCATGCTCAGTCATTAATTAGAAAGAGTCCCAAACTGATAGTTGAGTGTTGGGTTCTAGTTCTGCCTCTGCTACTAATTAATTCTCTCACCATAGATATTTCATGTTGTATCAAAACATTCTCACCTGTAAAACATGGAGGTGATCTCTTAAGCACTTTCCAGTTTCAAAGTTCTTTAATGTTATGATTTTACTCTTTAGAGATTCTGGTGTCACATATATTTAAAGCTACATGATTGAATTATATTAGAAATATTATCTTTTCTTTCTAACTCTACATACATGAAATTGAAAGTCATTTTTAATAGAAAAGGAAAATTTATATGTATTATTTAATGTGGTTAATATTACCTAAATTGTTGAACTTAAGCTTTTCTACTTTAAGTGCCTTTAGCAGTGTTTTATATTTGAAATCTGAAATGTAAAGGAAATTATTATGTAGTTTTATATAGTTTCTTCTTTATTTTTTACTTCGAGTTATTTGCAACTTTTTTTTTAAACCTTAGATTACACAGAGCAGTGTATTCATGGATTCTTCACTATTTCACTAGTGAGTTCTTGAGAAATGTATGTTAAAGATTAGCTCAGTGAGCAGGTAAGTAAATTCTTCATGTTGGGTGGGCAACAGTCTTTATGCAGAGTAGAATAAAGGACTATTCAGATAGTCCAGTGTTTATATTAAGATATTTTTAAAATATGGGTGGTACAGACATCCGAAGTTGATTAATGGTTATGGGTGTAAATCTCAAAAATTTTCTTTGGTAGCATATAGTTCATTACCCTAGAGTAGAGGTTGGCAAATGCTTTTGGTAAAGGTTCACATAGTAAATATTTTGGTTTGGCTGGTAGTTTGATGTCCCCTTTCCTAGATGGTGTAGTTCACTTGTAGTTCAAATTATTGGCTAGTAATTTAAACTACAACAGATGGTTAATTTGATGTAGGTTAATTTGCTAATGTATTTAGAATTATAAAGGTAAGTGGGAAGTGGGTAAGGGAAGATAGGAACTCTTAGGAACTCATGTTATTATATAAACACTTTGAAGCCCTTTTCTTTGCTAGAACCCACTGGAGGTTTGCTTAGCTGCCATAAATTGAGTCACTAGTGGGATTTGTGATTGGTTGTTGCAAGTTATATAAATTTTTCTAAGCACTTGATTACCTAGATGGTAGTAAAGAATGGATTAAAAAAAAAAAAAAAGAATGGATCAGATGAACCTTTTTACTTGAGTATTTTAGGACACTAGACCAATAATTTAATAGAGATTGTGAAATATGAGACTTTGTTTTTGCCATGTAAAGACTTCTGTTAACATCACTTACACCTTCCTCTCTCCCCAATATTTAGGAAGGACATAAACTCAGAATAAAAGTTATTTAACCTGAAAAAATTTTAAGTCGATGGAAGAATTATTACACTGTTCTTTTCTCATTTACTCTAGATCACTGAAAACTTCAAGTATCAGTCCATAGATTGGCAGTTGGGAAGTGCCGTGATATAGTTGCTGAAAGAGCTCATGTAGTTATAAAACTATTATTAATCAAGAGATGTAATAAACCAGATGTACTCTGATATTTAGACTGAAACATTTACATTATTTGTTAAATGGTATGTGCCACACATTTAGAGGGACATTAAATGTTTAGCAGCCAGAAAAGGGAAAGGCCTGAGTGGTGTGGTAAGTGGATGCAGTCCAAGAAATTGGCAATATTTATTTTGGAGAAGATAAGATTTGAGCAACTGCCATATGTAAGAAGGAATAGGATTACTCTATTGTTATTAATGGGAAAATTAATTCTAAGAAATGAAAGTTTCTGGTTCCATATTAATGTTCTGTCTGAAGATTTCTAAATGAAAAGTGGCTTTGTCCTCATATAAAATCATTGGAAGTATTCAAACAAAAGCTAGTTCTGGGTTCTAAAATAGAATCCCTGTACTCTTGGCATCTGTATCACCTGGATATGTTATGGTATAGATCTAAAATTATGGGTCATCAAGCTGAAAAAAAAAAATACTATAATTAGTATGAGTAAAATGAAACATTTTATTTGTATAAAACTCCTAAGGGAAATCATTTTTAAGTAAAAATTGATTTTGATAATTTAACACTAACTTTTAACACATAATACAACTTGATAGGATGATTGCTATTTAATTGTTAGTGGTGGAACATTGGACCCTTAGGATATTTAATGTACTTTTGTTTAGTTACAACATTTAAATATAAGGTAGAGTTCTGCCATATACTAAAATAATTTAAGTTGTCTTTGAATAAGTAACCTATCTTTATTAAACACAGATTCTTTCTGAATCTAAAACAGCCATAGCATTAGCAGAAAAAATGGGTATGGAGGGAGCTTGTTCTTTTTTATACCTATTAATGTCAACAGGTAGAAGGGGAATGAACAGTAGGTGGTAGATAACTTTTTATCTACGCTCTTCCTCTCCTCCTACCTGCAAATAGAGGTGAGTGGGCATGTCACAGTGTCATCATTTGGTAAAGTTGCCCTCAAGCAATGTCTTTTAATAGTCATTCTTGTGGATGGATTTAGTTAGCCTAGCATGAGTTCATTGATATAGTCTGCTTGTTGTGTACTATGTGAAAAATTTTAGGGTTTTAGGTCAGACATTTGTCCAAGGGTTTTACAGTAATCCCAGAGTGGTTTGTATCCACATTTAGAGTGTGTGTGTGTGTGTGTGTGTGTGTGTGTGTGTTTAATTCTAATATAAGATT